CTGCCAGACCAGGATAGCAGCATCAAAGCAAGACTTCAGTGTCACGAAATGAACATTCATACAGCTGCTTCTCTTCACAGAGGACTGGGTGGACAGAGATCAGGTTTAAGCTGAGTCTTTCTCTCATAGAATTGTAATTTCACCAGGCCTAGACAGACCTGACAGGTCTTCAATTTGCTGTCTGAAAAGAACGCTGCCCCTGCATGCACATTGTGAGAATTCTAGTGAGACGGAAATCTTGGCCCGGCTGGAAGTAGCAGGCCTCAGTGCCTTTAGCCTCCAAGGTGAAAGGGAGAAACGTGTTGTTGAAGCTTTCGTAAGTGGATTCTGCCAGCATGGACAGTTTCCACTTCTGTCAATCCAGGTAGGCTGTCTTCCAGTTCACAACAGTTGAACATGCTCTCCAAAAGGTGCCGTTGGCTTCCTGTTTGAAAGTCATGGCAGCATCAGAGCAAGACTTCCGTGCCACCAAATAAACGTTCATACATCTGCTTCTCTTCACACAGGACTGGGTGGACAGAGATCAGGTTTTAGCTGACTCTTGCGCTTATAGAATTGTAATTTGACAGTTTCCGCTGCTGTACTATCGATCCAGGTAGGCGTGTTCCAGTTCACAACAGTTGAACACGCTCTCCAAAGGAATCAAAACATTCTGAATCACTCGAACTTTTCGACCACCCTTTACTATCAACCAATTGCATATTATTGGTTATGATTGGTAGGCTGTCTGTCCAATTTGACTGGTTGAGGTTCAAACGACTGATGTTGGCTTCCTTCCAGAAAGTCATGGCAGCATCAGAGCAAGACTTCCGTGCCACCAAATAAATGTTCATACAGCTGCTTCTCTTCACACAGGAGTGGGCGGACAGAGATCAGGTATTTGGCCAAGTAACAGGCCTCAGTGCCTTTAGCCTCCAAGGTGAAAGGGAGAACTGTGCGGTTGAAGCTTTCGCAAGTGAATTCTGCCAGCATGGACAGTTTCCGCTGCTGTACTATCGATCCAGGTAGGCGTGTTCCAGTTCACAACAGTTGAACACGCTC